CACATGAGAGGAGGGAGGGTCAGAGGGAGAAGCAGACTCCCTGCTGAGCAGGGAGCCCGATGCGGGACTTGATCCTGGAACTCCAGGATCATGACCTGAGCCGAAGGCAGTCGCTTAACCAACTGAGCCACCCAGGCGCCCTTGTTGTTTCTTTCTAAATGGTGGCAACATTTACCCCTTTATTAGATCTTTCTAGTTACGTGAGAAATGCATGTTCATTGCAGTAAGCCAAAGAATACAGAGCTACATAAAGAAAAGATCAATCATCTTTATCCCTGTCTATGAATTTTGCACCTTCTCCTCCAAGGTTACTGATGTTAACAGTTTGATGCACACCCAATTGGGTTGTCTGTTTTTCTGTTGTTGAGTTTTAAGAGTTCTGTATATTAATTCCTTATTAGTTACATGATTTGCAAATATTTTCTTTCGTTCTGTTGGTCTTTTTACCTTATTGATAGTGTCCTCGGTGCACAATATTTTAAAATTTTCATGATTCCAATTTGTCTGTTTTTTCTTTTGTCACCTGTGCTTTAGTGTCATACCCAAGGAATCCTTGCCAAATCCCATGCTGTGAAGATTCTATTCTGTTTTCTGTTAAGAGTTTTATTGTTTTAGGTCTTACATTTATGTCCTTGATCCATTTTAATTAATTTTTGTGGATGGTATTAGGTAATGATCCAACTTCATTCTTTTACATGTCAATATCCAAGCTTTCCAGGCCCATTTGTGGAAGAAACTGTCTTTTTTTTTTTTTTATAGAATGGTCTTGGCGGTCTTGTCGAAAATCATTTGACCATAGGTGTGAGGGTTTATTTTTGGGCTATTTTGTTCTATTGGTTTATATGTTTGTCTTCACGCTAATACAACACTGTTTTGATTACTGTAGCTTCAAGATAAGTTTTGAAATCAGGAAGTGTGAGTCTTCCAGTTTTGTTCTTTTTCAAGATAGTTTGGCTACTCATAGTTCCTTGATATTCTGTATGAATTTTAGGATGGATTTTTCTATTTCTGCAGAAAATGTCACTGGGATTTGGATAGAAATTGCATTGAATCTGTAAACTGCTTTGGGTAGTATTGACATTTTAACTAAATTGTCTTCCAATCCATGAACATGGATTCCATATAGTTATGTCTTCTTTAATTTCCTTCAGCAACGCTTTGTAGTTTTCATTGTGCAAGTTTTCGACCTCCTTTATTAATTCCTAAGTATTTTGTTATTTTGATGAGATTGTAAATGGAATTGTTTCTGTAATTCCTTCTTAGATTGTTAATGTTCATATATAGAAATGCAGCCAATTTTTGTGTGTTGACTTTGTGGTCCTGCTACTTTGCTGAATTCATTTATTCTAACAGCTTTTTTATGGAGTCTTTAAGGTTTTCTATATATAAGATCATATCATCTGCAAACAGATAATTTTAATTCTTTCTAACTTAGATTCCTTTTCCTTCCTCCCTCCCTCCCTTCCTTCCTTTCCTCCTTCCTTCCTTCCCTCCTTCCTTCCTTTCCTCCTTCTTTCCTTCCTTCCTTCCCTTCTTCCCTCCTTCCTTCCTTCCTTCCCTCCTTCCTTCCTTCCCTCCCTCCTTCCTTCCTTCCTTCCCTCCTTCCTTTCTTCCCTCCCTCCCTCCCTCCCTCCTTCCTTCCTTCCTCCCTCCCTCCCTCCCTCCTTCCTTCCTTCCTTCCTTCCCTCCTTCCTTCCCTCCTTCCTTCCTTCCTTCCTTCCTTCCTTGCTTGCTTCCTTCTTTCCTTCCTAATTGCTCTGGCTAAAACTTAGCACTGTGTTGAATCAAAGAGGTCAAAGCTGGCACCCTTGCCTTGTTCCTGATTATAGAGGAAAAGCTTTCAGTCTTTCACCATCGAATATGATATTTATTGTTTTTTTCATATGTATCTTTTATTATGT